ACAGAGGAGCGATCCATGGACTTAAAGTAAAAAAAAGGGGTCCAGCCATCTCCCATATGCTCTTTGTAGATGACAGTGTCCTGTTTGCGAGAGCTACAACCACAGAATGTGCGAAAATAAAGGAAATCTTAAGGATCTATGAAGTGGAATCGGGTCAGAAGATTAATCTCCAGTAGTATGAAATTAGCTTCTCCCCGAGCGTGGAAAAGGAGAAGGCAGTCGAGTTGGGAAACATTCTTGGGATGAGAAGAGTGGAAGAACACACAAAATACTTGGGGCTCCCTACAAAAATTGGTAGACAGAAGAAGGCAGCTTTTGGGGTGTTGGTTGACCGAGCCAGAAAGAAAGTTAAACATTGGAAAAGTCAGACACTCTCAATAGCAGCCAAGGAAGTACTAATTAAATCAGTAGCCCAATCACAAGCTACTTATACTATGTCTGTGTTTCGTGTGCCAGATGGGGTGCTAGATGAGATCAGAAGAGTGATATCGACTTTCTGGTGGGGGCAAAAGGGAGAGGAGAAACGGATCCCATGGAAAGCATGGAAGAAATTGTGCAAACCCAAAGAAGAAGGGGGCATTGGATTCAGAGACCTAAGGGGCTTCAACTTAGCTCTGCTGGGGAAGCAAATCTGGAATCTTATGAACAATCCGGATTCCCTAGTTGCGAGGGTTCTGAAGGCCAAATACTACCCAAATTCTGATATACTAGAGGCTACTATTGGAAACAATCCGAGTTATACTTGGCGCAGCTTGATGGCTGCCCAGGACTTAGTCAAACGGGGATTACGGTGGAGACTTGGCAATGGATCCAACATAAACATATGGGATGATAAATGGATCCCAGGAGCTGAGGAGGATGATTTTAGGGTGACTTCACCGAGACTGGATCTGGATGAGGGTAACCAGGTGCGGGATTTGATTGACCATGGTACCAGAATGTGGAAACGGCCCCTACTTCAACATTTTTTCAATGTCACTGATCAAGCTCGAATTGAAGGCATCCCCATCCCTAGAGAACCAGCGGCTGATAGGCGAATATGGAGTTGGGAGAAGTCTGGTGTCTACACAGTTAAGTCAGCCTACAGATTCTGGAATAGGAAGGCCAACAACGAGGAGGTTGGCGATGAGGTTGAGGAACTGACAGGGGAACTCTACGACCCGATGAACTGGAAACGCTTGTGGGGCTTAAATATTCCCCCAAAGGTGAAAACTTTCCTTTGGCGATTCACCCATGACATATTGCCGACAAGGAAGAACATTGAAGGAAGGAAGAAGGAAGCCTCAGTCGAATGCCCTTATTGCATACAGACCACTGTTTGAATCAGGGGAAGGCTTATCGAGTGGCAGCTGGCTTTGCGAAATAATGGAGAAAGTCGATGACGATGTGCTAAGTAGGCTGGGAATGATCCTATGGAAGCTATGGAGCGAAAGGAACAATCACTTGTTTAACAATCACAAATTGAAAGATTGGGAGATTGTTCCCCACGCCCTGGATCTATTGGAAGAGTTCCAATCACATAGAGAGAGGGAGGAAGGAGCTAGCGGGGGTGAGCGGATTACCTGGGTGCCGTCGCCGGAGGGATGGTACGAAGTGAATGTGGACGCCGCTGTGCTGGCGAATGAGGGCGCTGGTTTGGGTGTGGTGGTAAGGAATGCCGAGGGCGATTTCGTCATGGCGGCTGTGACCAGAAGGAGGAATCAATGGACACCAGAACTAGCAGAGGCCAAAGCAATCCTCTTCGGTCTTCTTACCGCCATTCACCATCAATTCCTCCCAGTCATCGTTGAGACGGATTGCCAGGGGCTATTCTCACAGCTTGGAAATGAGGATCGGAGACTTACAGAGGTGGGGTTGATTGTGGATGAGATCGAGGAGGTGGCAGCGGAGATGGGAGAAGACAAGGTAAGATGGGCTTTTACTAGGAGGAAAGGCAACTCCGCAGCTCACTTAATGGCCCATACTTTCTGTAACTGGGAAGCCCAAGAAGAGTGGGTGACCAGACCTCCTGCTTTTCTTCTTTCAACTTTAGAAAGGACTCTAATGGCAACACTACAAATTAAATAAAGCACAGGTTGATTATAAAAAAAAAAAATAGAAGAGAGTTGCTAAATGTCGCCCTAATCGTTGCCAACGGAACAAACAACATTAAACAAAAAAATATTTAAAATATTTTAATTGTAACAAACAACATTAAACAAAAAAAATTATTATCGGAAATTTCACCCCTACGTTCCCGAGAAGAACTAAAGAAGGGCGAACTCAACCCCCAACAAAACTGAACGACCCAATTTCAATATGCCCTTCTGTATGCCTCTGTGGATCATTTTTAATGGACACAGAAAATTATCCACCAAGGACTCCTCGTTACCCACCAAAGACAACGCCTCCATCGTTGCCAACGGAACCGCCGTACTGCGAGAGAGATTTCCCGGCGGTGAGTTCTGCGATAACATATTAACATGTTATGCCGGACATTCCCAAATCCCAAAGACATTATTATTGGATCCACCTCAATCTCCGTATTCCAAGAAAGCAATGACGACAATTTTCATTCTCAAAGACATGATTATTGGTTCCAACCAGTACTTATTCCAACCGCCGGCCACTAAATAAAACATCACTACTGATTTTGGCCATGAACCCCAGGCAGCCACTGAGGCAGAGGGTAGGAAATGATATAATGAAGGCAGGATTTCTATGGCGGTGGATTGGGTAGCGGTGGCTGCTGGTTGGGGTAGGACGTCGACAGTTTTGAAGGAAGGACTCCGCGGCGGCGGATTGGGTGGTCGTGGATGGGGGCGAAGGTTTGAAGATTATATTAGGATGAGTTTGATTTTTTTTTAAAATCTTTTTGTCTCGTACAATTATGTAATTTTCATTTTTAAATTAGGCGATAACAGTAAACTTAGGGCGAGGTTTAGCCATTCAGTAATAGAATAGATAATTGTGTCTAACTAGTTTAAAATGAAGTCTAACTAGTTGAAAAAAATCTAAAATATGATAAATATAAATATATATTGTAAGAAATTGAAATAGAATGACCAAGAATGAGGTGATTCGGGGTAGGGTGGGTCAGAAGTAGTGTCGGTACTTTTTTAGCCGCAGTATTTGGTGTATTTAAACAACTGGTGTTGATTAATAATAACTACTTAACCCAAATTGGATGAGCATATTCTAATTGGTTCAACCTGTTATTTATTCAAACTTGTTATTATACATATTTTATATCATTTCAGGAAAATTCAATAATCAATTTGTTTATTTTCCTTACGATTTCCCCCTAATTTTATCGAAAGCAAAAGAAGCAAATTTTCTGGTATCCGACCACTTTCATCATCTTCTTCCGTTGATCGCCCGAAAGTGACTGTCATCTAGGGGTGGACAATGGACCGATTGGGTGGATTTTTGTCTCAAATTGACCCAGGGGCGCCAGGATTTCGAGACCGGGGGGCCAAAAATGATTAAACAAAACGTATGTAGCCATGCTAGATCGAACCCATGTGCTTTAAAACACAAGTCAAGCTTGTCTACCATTAGACTACATGACTATTACACAAAAAAAATTACGGAACAAGTTCTACTTATAAAATTCGTACTAAATATCCTTACGATCCTAAGGGTCGGGACCAATCCCAGGGGGGCCGGGGCCCATCCTACCTTAAGTGTAGCTCCGCCCCTGAATTGACCCACCCACTTATTAGCGAGTTAGAATAATTGTGATCCGCAATCCACCCACATTTTTCTGCGGGTCAGGTTGGGTGGGTGGCGGATGGGTGTGGTTGGGTCGTGAGTTAACACGCAAAAGAAATTCTCCAACTAGTCATTAAGAAAATTGACTAACATTTTATAATAAGTTCATAACAAATTAGTAAGACTATATCAATTTATACACTTCTCACTTTGTCTCAAGTGAATTTATGTAGTATTTGCATAAAAAAATTTACTTCTCTATCAACTAATTGTATGGAGAAAACTTACGCTCTCAGATGTCTAATGGCAGAGAGTCTTCCTTCACAGAGGAAGGAGAAAGAAAAGTTGCCGCATATTATTTTCATTGTTCTCAAACTCAAACTAATAACAGAAACCAAAGAGTCGATCATTTTCCCCTAAATTTTAGGGGTGTCCGAACCTAAGTCTGTCGCTGCACCTGGTGGAGAGACGTTCCCTAAACCCTCCATGCGACGTGTCAATTCCCATGTTTAAAACAATGGATCAAGTTGCATTTAGTGATGACAACATAACCCGAACTCATGGGTACTCCCACCCGACCCAATTCAGTCAAAGTAGATAAAATTCGCATTGATGGATTATGGATCGGGTTCGAGTTTAAACTCGTCATCGTTTTGCGAGTTGGGTTGGACTCGAATTTAGCTATATCCAACCCGTACTCGTCCCCAACCACAAATCCCTTACCCACTTCCCATTTGGTCATTCTCCCATACTAATTCCTAACCCTAATTCCAAAAAGAAAAGAAACCTCCCCTCACCCCTACAGCCACTCAACCTCGATGCCACCATTAATGATGACCGGGATCCAGATTCTGCTTCATGTGTTACCGGTATATTTAATATTCTGAGCAATATATTTCTTCCTTAAGAAACTAATCTTCCTTATGTTTGTGGATACATGTCTAATTTGTTCTTCCTAATTGTGTAGAATGAAGTTGATATTATGGAGTGGAGAGTGAAGAAAGCTTAGTAGACAAGGAGGAAAAAACTTTCAATTAATCATTCTGTTTACAAATGTTTATCTTTAATGTTGAACAATTTGTATGGATACTTTGTAGTTTGCCTGTATGCTCTGGATAGATTTTTTTTTATAGATAATATGTATGGGAATACTCTAGATTGGTCTTTTTTATAGATAATATGTATGAGAATAATGATATTATACTTTTATTTTGACATGAAATTGTTAATTGTACATTTTTTTACTATGGGTATCCACCTAAACCAAGCAAATGCGTTCAACTTGCTCAAATTGCATGAATAATGGAGGTAATTTCATATGCATTTACATGAATTAGTCATATGAAGAGACATCTCTAGTCGACGTTTACAACGACATTGCAGTTTGACGATGCGTATGGAATCCAAAGGGGAGTACTATCAGTGGCTTCACAGGAAGCATTCAGCGAGTGGGCGAATCTAGAACATGCTTAGGACTCTGCATTAGAAGAGAAACTCGAGAACCATTCACCACAAATTACAACCTAAATGGAAAATAGAACAAAGCTGCATCTATCACATTATGCACAGCCAATCAACTTCTGAAAATTAGTACTGGTTGAGGTGAGCTCTAGAGGGAAGTTGAGATTGAACAGTTAAAAAAGGATTTGGGGCACTGAGACCTCCTTCCTTCTTGCTGGTCTAATCCGAGTTATAGCTCTTTCCTCCAACTAAACTAACACCACACTTCTGTGCTTGCTGGTGCTTAGGGGATGTCATCGATTTAGGCACCATTCATGGCAGAGGGAGTCTTAGCAGCATCCTCGTATGCAGCGTCATGCACTCCAATGGCAGCACGGCCAGATGGGTCGAGATTCTTGGACCAAGCTGCATCCCATTCTACTGCTGTTGCTGTGCTGCAAGCCACACTTGGACCTCCAGGTACAGTTGCCCTTGCAGCATTCTGCTCAGGAGTCACAACCATGGTTTGTCACAATCGAGATTGTTAGATTTAATTGACGACCAATTTTATTGCAACATTGGACAGGGTTTTCCTCTCTAGAATAAGAAACCAGTAAGATACGAAGTTCTAGATCAGAATTTTAGAAACATTTTGTCAAAGCAAATAGTAACGGAACAAGGATGGATGTGTACCTTTGGAAAGAACTTCTCGAATATAGTCCTGTAGTAGTATGCTTCTTTCGTAGTAGGAGTGTTTTCAGGATAGACAAAACTTGCATTCACCAACATTGCATCTGTAACCTGCCCAATTACAACACCAAGATTGCCGTCGTGTTGGTGAACAAAGTCAAGGAAATTAAAAAGTCCAGAGACAGTTTTATCACAAAATGCAGAGATAATTCGTCATAAACTCATGATAATTCTTGTTACTGGTATACGTACTTGATTGTTTGCATGATCCTTTAAGCCATCAATCCAGCTATAACCAACTCCATCGCTGAACTGTTCTTTCTGCCTGTACAGTATGTGCTAAAAACAAAGGCCAGTCAACAGAGATTTCAAAAATCAACAATGGCAGGACAAGAGCACCAACAAACAAATATTTTTTTGTCAAACCTTTGGCAGGTAAGGGTTCTTCTCATCATCAAATGCATTACGCAGTATCCACTTCTCAATCCTTCCAATGTTAGGTCGGATCTGCAATGCATTAATAAAAGGAACTAAGAAATACATTAACGTCATATTTCCCGCACCTTAATATACAGCATATGAGAACTATGTTAGCTATGGAAAAGGACTCTGTTAGGGGAAAGCTTTACAAAAGGCCCAGTGCTAGTAAATCTTAAAATTATAGATGATAGAAGCTCCATTGAACTGGCAAAAATATGTGATTAAATGGAAAATTGAGAATGTTGTATAGATTTTTTTATATATAAAAAGAATGTTGTATATATTTAACATCAATGGGTCAACAACAAATGGCCTTACCATCTTCCATTCTGGATCTATGCTCATTGCAACATTTATGAACTCTTTATCCAAGAAGGGTACCCGAGCTTCAAGACCCCATGCTGAAGTTGACTTGTTGGCCCTCAAGCAGTCATAAAGATGCAGAGCTTTTATCTGTGCACGACAATTTACAAAATATTATTGAGGAAAGAGGTAGAAGGCAGTTGAGATATTTGGTAATGAGAAACCTCTACGCAAATGTTTTGGACTTGAGCCCTAAAATAAAAAACAATAGAAATATTACCTTACGACATGTCTCTTTGTGAAGCTCTTCCTTGTTGGGTGCCTTGTGGAAATACAAGTAGCCTCCAAATATCTCATCTGAGCCTTCACCAGAAAGTACCATCTTCACTCCTAGAGACTTGATTTTTCGAGACATAAGGAACATTGGCGTGCTTGCTCTAATAGTGGTCACATCATATGTTTCAATGTGGTAAATGACTTCCTCGAGGGCGTCTATCCCTTCCTGATGAAGAGAAAGACAAAAAGGACATTATGCTTGAAACAACGGCATCATACAGTACAGTCTCATCTTGAATTTTCAAGGGAGAAGATAGAAATTACCTGAACAGTAAAATGGAACTCATGGTGACGAGTATGGAGATAATCAGCTACCTCTCTAGCAGCTCTCAGGTCAGGGGAACCCTAAACATAAGGAAAGAACAACAAAATCAGATCAGCAAGTAACTAGTCTGTTGAAACCAAACTTGACTTCAGAATTGAATACAAGAAATCCTTCTCCCTATATGCACTGGCTATATCTTTCACCTAAACTTCTTGATTCAGATTCTTTTAGACATAAAAAAGATGGCATATTCGAAACAAGAAAGAACCATGCAAGTCATCATTACCAATGCCAGGTCATATGGTAACAAAATCTAGAAATCAGTAAGCTTGTATGCTTTGTGCAAGGATGCCTGGACCAAAACAAAAACAAGCTTCACCATCTTGTGCCAATGACATTGACACTTGAAAAACAATTAAGATACTGATCAATGATAAATTACTCCATTAGGGATCAGGTCTTAAGCGTAGAAAGGTCAATTGACAAAAAATTGGCTGAAATGCACTGTGATAAATAACTACTCTCTATTCAACGAAATAATAATAATAAATAACTACTCTGTGTCAAGTTAAATATAATCACCTTCAAACCAACGCAAAAGGTGTGCAATTGTGTTCCCCACTGGCAAGCAGCTGCTAATTCAGCCATCTTTCGAGAAGCCACAGCAGCAACAAGTGAAGAATCCAATCCTCCAGAGAGAAGTACACCAAATGGTACATCCGTCATAAGCCGTTTGGTCACCGCCTAGAAAGTTCAAGAGGCAAAGCATGTTGACATACCAAGTAAGCACAGTTAAGAAAGAGCTCAGTAGGGATATTTTATGAAGATCTCAATTGACTTTTTTACGACGAGGTTGACAGGAACTAGATTGCTTTTAAGATGAATCTAGAACTTGCCTTCTCAAAGGCCTCCCGTAAATATAGTGGATCATATGGGGTCGAAGGTACTTCTTCCGTATACCATGGTGGGTTGTACCACCTTCTAAGACTTCCTGATAGCATTCAAACAAAACAAAACAAAAAACAGTTGCTGGTACCATTATCGAATGGGAAAGCACAAAAGAAGCATTTTCTCCACTTGCATGCACATTGAATCTCCGCCCTCTAGCATAGATACTGCATCCATAGTAAGGATGCCTGTTGCCCCCCAAGTCTTTCCATCAGTTATTAGTATTGAATTTGATGCTCCACAGTGCACTTGTTCGATACTTACCAGACATCAATATAATTCAGCTACAGTTTATCACAAAAACATACCGAGAATGGCACCAACCTAGTGCAGGAGACAAGAAATTATCGTGTTTTTCGTTTGCTAAGAAAATTTCAGCTTTGTGTAGATAATGTAAGCATTCTAAAGCTGCCAATCCAAGGAACAAACCTTCCTTGCTCGAATAAATATGCCCTGGCAGGAAAGACACAAATCGCTCACAGTCATCACTCAGGGCTTTCATTTCTGAAGCAAACCACACCGATCCTGAAACATTATTTGTGATGGCTTAGAACAGAAACATGAACCCTTAGGTAAAGGAGAGAATAATGCAAATTCTATTTCCTCTGACTCGTTGTCCCAAGTTGGAGGCAGGCTAATTAAGCCAATGTCAACAATTAAAAAAGAAAAAACATAAAATCTTACCATCAAGGCCCCAACCCATATAAAGTGGTGTAATACCAATTGCATCACGAGCTGCAATGAAAGTTTTGTTACGTGTATCAAGAAGAACAAAGGAAAACATCCCATCCAACATGTGCACAAAATCTTCTCCATACTCTTCATACTGTAAAGAGAAATGGAAAAAGTTAATCAACTGTAGACAAGAGAAGCAAAAAGTGGCGAGAACACGTTCAGCCACATGCTATAGGTAAGAGAGCTCCAACTGGGGACAACAAAGGGGGGGAACATTAGCAGTGAAATTTCTTCCTTGACAAACCAATAACAGTAATAAAGTTATATCCTTTAAAATAAGCAAGAAAGAATCTCAAGATCTAATAGAGTGCAAAATCCAATGCAAGATATCTGGTTTGCATTAGTCACCACAACCAAAACCGTACTCAGCAAAGCAGCAAGCGCATCAAACATAAGCTACTTACAAAGAATGTAGCAACACAAGGAACTTACTAGATGCGCAATCACTTCACAGTCACTGCCAGTCCGGAACTGATGGGAAGTCAATTTTTCCCGCAGCTCCTTGTGGTTGTATATCTCCCCATTAACCTTAAAGTCAAGTTCGAAATCATAAGATAAGCAGAAGTTCAAATTGTTCCACCAACAGCGAAATTTTCCTGCATAACTCCGGCTATTTCGATTTGAAGGCAAGTTCACAGCATGTTAACCACGATGTCGGTCATACATTCAAATCGCCATTAACAAATGACTCTAATCGCAAAAATAAGGGGTCGTTTGGAAGTTGTGATTGTTAAATAGATGTATTGTTGAGAATGCATGTATAATATTATACATGTATTGTCGAATTTGATGCATTGTAGAATCCAACGTTTGGTATGTGTGATTGTGTATGACAAAACAATCTCAACTCAACTATCTCAACAATCACAACTAAAAGTTGAGATATAACAATCACTCAAAATGAGTGAGTTTCTGTCACATCACAAAAACAATTCATGTATTGTTTCTGCTAAAAAACAAAAAAACGATACATTGTAAACAATACATACATAATGACAATCTCAACAAAACTATCGCAACTTCCAAACGACCCCTAAATTACTCTTGGTCAGTTTCAACTATCACGTCCTGCTCTATCCTGTCACTCTATGTTTTTGTCGCTTTTGCTTTCAAAACTTAATGAATGATACGGCTTCAAAGGGTTCATATCCCCACAGAAAGAATACAATATACTTACTGTGACGACAACAGTCTTGTCTTCGTTGTAAAGTGGCTGATCCCCTGAAGCAGGGTCTATAATGGCCAACCGCTGATGAGCCAGATAGCAATCATCATAGCAGTGCAGCCCACTCCAATCAGGACCCCTGTGCCTCAACCTACGATTAACCGGAAAAGTAAATAACAAATCAATCGCTAAGAACTCCGGCGAAATACAAAACGACAAAAGACGACTTGGAAGAAGCCGGAAATGGGTACATGCAAGTTCAGACGGAAACAGAAAAATGCAAACACCCAATGGCGAACGCGAAGCACAGGAAGTATTATGCAGGAGACAATGAAGGCAGCAATCCGCAATAGCACCATCGAATTTGAAATTAGCAAAATGGTGGAGAATAGATGGGTGATTTGGGTTTCACCTCCGGGAGAGCTCGATGATGCGGGAGCGTTTGGCTTGGGAGTTGTCTACGCAACCGAAGACTGCAAGGATTCCACACATGGCGGCGATAGTCTTTTCTTCTTGCTCTGTTAAATGTCAGCTGAGCAGTGTGGAGGAGCGAGCCAGCGGCACGCACAGAGAGCGCCGGAAATAGAGTGGAGGCTAGAGAATAGAGATGACTGAATGGAATAGGTTGAACTTTCTGTGTGTTTTATAAAAAAAATATATGGGGTTCTTCAATCACCGCCGTTGATTCTGACTGCATCTCCAAAAGAGATTCCACTCCCTCTATTCTCGTTTCTCTTCCCCTTTTCTTTTACTTTTTTTTTTTACCAAAAAAAAAAAAAAGGAAAGGAAAGGAAACTTTTTGCATTTTTATATGGGGGATTGAATTACGAAGAATCTCTAAAGATGAAAAGTAAATTCGATCAAAAAAGGATGAAAAGTACCCTTTAATTACTACTTTCTTATAGTTGATTAGAGGACGAGATAAACTCTTAAATTCTACTAATTGATTGGTTGGATCTGGTCCGACTACTACAAAGGAAGAAGAGGGGAGAGGGATTAGGAAAAAGAGAAGGAGGATGGATGCCGATAGTGGGTGGTTCGTGAAGGTTATGTAGCTTGTTTATGAGAGGTGAGTTTCTAATAGTTACATACTTACATGTAAGATAAATTTCATTTCAGTTATTAAAATTTTAAATTACTATCTTATTTGTAATTTTTTTTCGAGTAATGTCAAGACAATAGTTATGAAGAATCACTACTTACAATCTCTCCTCATCCCACTAATAAGTCATCTTACAAAGTCAAAAGAAGCTAACTCTAACCGAGACAACAACAAGGCTTTACGTGTCACTCTATGGACAACCCAGTTGGCATCCCGAAAACTTCCATAAATTCTATACAATGAGAAAAAAACTCAAGAATAATAAGACAATCTCACAGGGGGCCTTCAATGAAATCCTCCACCACACCAAGGTTGAGCTTACGGACGACCACTTCTACATCTCCTTCGATGATCACTCGAGACAAAATTCTAGGAGATGCAAGAGAAATTGCATCCCTATCTGCAAAGAGTTGTACGAGATATGGGTCGGAGATTCCCTGATGCTGGACACCCGAGGTGAGCTGCACATGCCTGTTCGAGCCACGAACCACAAGGCAGACGAGCGTCCAAAATTGGTCTTCAGATAATCTTGAGCAGGGCTTTCCCAAAGATGGCTAGAAGAAGCAGGAACATAAGGCACATAAGATGAGGCAAGCGACAACGAGGTGAGCACTTCACGTACCTGAGACGAGAATTGGCAGGCAAGTGAACGGACATGGGGCTACCTATTTTCAAATACCACTTTATTTCTTGATTTTCATATTCTCCACAAGAGGCATACTACTTGGAGAATAAGGGTTTGGAACTGCTTCATTAGCATAACTTGACGCCACCACACACTCGATTTCATAGTCGGGGCCTAAACTAGCATGTCACTTAATCCCACAAAATACCATAATTGATTGGCAAGGGGGCAATGAAAGATCAAATGTTCTATACTCTCTCGGAACCTCTAGCAAACAGGGTATCACCTTAGACAATTAACCCCATGGGGCTTGAGTGCTATTGTTGTCTGTTGTTGGAAGGGCCACTTTAAGACACTGCCAAATGAAGAACCTCGGTTTTGGAGCCAGGATGACACACGTCATTTTCCACACAAGAGGGTCAATAATATGAGCCAAAGATTTTCTACTAGGAGCTAGAATACCTTCTAAAGCCAAATGGTATCTTGTCTTAACTTAATACTTGCCATTTTTGGTGAAATTCCAGACTCTAGTGTCTGGTTGATTAGTCCGTGATAGGGCCATCTTGCAAATGAGATCAACTGAACGGGGATCAAAACAATACTATAAACGAGGAAAATGTCATTTTTCCGAACCCTTAGAGATGAACTAATATTGGCCAACCTGATCACCGGGCTTTCTGGGTTAACTCTTGAAATCCAACTATCGTAGAAAGCGTCAATGATATGTCCATCTCTCACTTGCCATCTCATTCCTTGAAGGAAGAGATATCTTCCATAATGAAGGCTAAGCCAACCCCACTATGAATTGGATCCCACCCGAGCATCTAGAATGGAACGAGAATTAAAGTATCGACCTTTATAGATTTGGCTCAGCAAAGAGTTTGGATCCGCCCAAATGCGCCAACCCTGCTTTGCCAGAAGCGCTTGGTTAAAAGCCTCAAAGTCTCTGAACCTCAATCCCAGAGTAGTCAAAATCCGATTTAAATCCTAAAATTCTACGTTTTTATGATTTTACTTACCTATTCCGATTTTGATTTTACAATGAAATCTATGGACCTTAAAATCCTCCACTATTCACGATTTAAATTCTTAAAATCTTACGATTTTATGATTCAAATCTTTGAGTCAATTTTACTTATTTTCCCCATAATTTGCAAAATTACGCCTCTTTTTCTTCTCCTCCACCAACATCCTCTAGTTCTCTCACACTAACCACCATCGACTATAATCGATTCACATCAACGTGATAATCATCATCGATTCATCATCCCTTAACATTAACCTTGAAAATTGGAACATTAACCTTGATAAATTATCATAGTAAGTGTTATGTGCTCTTGTGTTATTCATGATTTTCCTTACTAATATTATTCCGTCTTTATTTTTATATGGATCTTAAAGTCCTACAATTTGACGATTTCGATTTTACCCCCATTTTCGATTTTACGTACAATCCCGATTTTGACTTCTTTGCCAATCCTCCCTCTTAAATTTACTTTGGGTTACTCCCATTCATGAGACACAATGGATAGGATGGTCTGAGTTACTAGAGGAGCCCCACCAGAACCTGGCTGCATGGCCATTCAAGCGTTGACATGTTTCCTTGAGAAATCTAAAACAGGACATACCATGGACAGGTAGATTAGTCGCAGATATTCTTATGAGTGTGTCCTCGACAACTCTTGATAATGACCGTTGTTTCCAACGTTGAAGTTCCTTGCGGAATTTCTCCTCAAAGAACGTAGACGCATCTCTCTTAGACTTGGATAGGATGGAAGGGAGCCCAAAAAGAAGAGATGAGAGTCCATTGGGCATGTCGGACAGACAAGCAATCCTTCCAAAAAAAACCATAGAAACAACCGGGATTGTCAACTTTGAGAAGCCTTATGAGCATATGGCAAATGACAGAGAAGAGGGGGGTCTCCCTGTCGGAGTCCTCTAGTAGGTCGGAAATACTCTGCTGAATTACCATTTACAATGTCTGAATAAGAGATTGTGATGACACATTCCCATATTGGGGCTACGAACTGGGGATGAAACCCTAATTACTTCATCGTCTCAAACAAAAATGGTCATTTTATGCGGTTATACACCTTCTCCATATCCAATCTTAGGGCCATCCACGACTTTCACCCAGATGACGTGGTCTTTAGGTGATGTGTTATCTCATTATCGATCAGGATATTGTCAGTAATATGATGCCCTATAATGAATCCATTTTGGACTCAAAGATAACTCGTGGTAACACTAGGCCAAGCCTATCAACTAAGATTTTTTAGATGATTTTATAAAAGACCTGACACAGACTTATAGGAAGTAAGTTCTTCATGTTACGCACCTCGACAACTTTTGGCATAAGGGATATCCAAGTACGATTAAAGCTTTTCAGCAGATGTCTAGAGTGAAAGAATGCCAGTACTACTTGAGTGGCATCCAGACTAACTATGTTCCTATAAGTCGGAAAGAAACCAACTGTGAAACCATCTGTACATGGTGCTTGAGTTTTACCCCTACTGAAAACCACCTTTCAAACTCCCTCCGGCATAACTAATGCAGTTAAGCCCAAGTTTTATTCATTATTAATCAATCTAGGAAAAGGCAGGTTAGACAGACTAATTCCACCAAAACTGCGGTTTTAAACAGGTCCCTAAAGTAGCTCACTACAATGGAACATTTCTCCATCTTTACAGTTAACCATATTCCCCTATCATCCTCCAAGTCCCCTATTGAGGTAATGAGGTGAAAATAATCAATATTCTCCCCTTCTTGTAGTCATTTGATCCTGGATTTATGTCTCCAATATATTTCCTCTCGATCGTAATGGATCCCCAACTTGATTTCAAGCTCTCGAATTACAGTCCAATCCACTACTTGATCATTTTAAGCCATTTCTAGGGCATGACTCCGTCTCTTTGATGTTTCGAGTAGAATTTGACCTACCACCCTTGCACCAATCAAAAAGCACATGTCAAGTGCGAAGAAGCTTGTAGAAGAGGTAGAATTTCTATGAGTCATCTACATGCAACCCCCAAAAAAGCTAATTAGAAGACCTGCTTCTGGATTGGAAGCCTAGCGAAGATCAAACCAGAAGAGCCTCTTCACTCTAGGGGACTCCGGATGTGTTAAAAGACAAAGCAGTTTATGATTGGATCCTCTATCTGAAAGATGATGTAGACAAGTATTCAACCATATATCCATCCACGAGTCTGAGGCAAAAGCCCTATCAATTCACTGCTCAATTAGTATTCCATTTCTATCTCGATTTGTCCAAGTGAATTGAGGACCTTGATATGGAGGCTCAAAAAGTCCCAACTAATTAAAAAAAAACCTATAAGGAAAGCACTTTATCCCTTCTCCATGGCCCCACAAGATTTTTTAAAATGAAAGCGAATAATTAACATCTCCTAAGATAAAAATAATGAATCTGAAAGCCTAGAGCAAAACCAAGAAGATCTTCCAATTGAGCTTGGCGACGAGGGATAACATAGGGAAAGGTATACTCCAGTAAGCACAAAACGATGACACTCACCATAGTAAAACGAACTATCATTAATGACGAAATTGCAACAAAAAAGGAGGAGAACCCAATGGATGACAGTGAGGCCCAACTTGGCTAGACAAAGACTAAACCCTCCAACATACTTGTAGGATCAATTGGATTACAAATTGAAAGTCCTAAAGAGAAAATAAAAGATGACACCTTATCACTAGGATTCATTGTTACAAAATAGAAAAGAATAGAGTTAGACATATTTGTGAGACCTTTGAGCGTTTAGATGTCAAGGCACTCCCCACATCTTGACAATTCCATGCACCTTGACATTCCAGGCGTAGACATTCATTTATTTTCTTGGGGACATTTGGGTTGGCTACCTCCACTCTATTCACTTTGTTATTTGATATCTAGATATGTGAAAGCTTGGGTCCAGATTCGACCAACCCATCCACAAGCTCTTGAATACAAATCCCAGAATTTCTCCTAACATACACTTTTGGCGACCCTGAGGATTCCACCATGATTGCTTTTCCTTTTGATTGTCCATTTGTTACCACTCCAATTGGAGAGCAAGAAGTCGCATAACCCAAATTTG